TTCCTTGTGTCTTTGGTGTTCCCTCACTTTTTAAAATGAATTTTTATTCTTTCCAACTTAAAAAAATTGAAGGAGAGTTGAAGAAATGATAGAAACTTCTTGCTCTAATTTTTGTACTAAAGATTCCCTTTTAGAAGCTAGAAGAGAAACTAACATTACTTTAATGCCTACTATGTGCCATTAAGGTAGATACTTTACATGTAAAATGTCCTGTTTCGTTCTCATGACCCTTTGCATTACTTTGAGATATGGCAGTTAAGTAACTTGCCCAGGGTCCCACAGCTGTCTAATGATAGAACTGGGTTCTGATGTAGGTCTCTGACTCCCAACTGTTGCCCTTTCTACTCCCAAATGTTAAAAGGCATCTTTAAGGCTTTTACATAAAGCATTTTAACTGCTTTGTAGATGGTCTCATATGTATCCACATGTATTTATTTCATGTAAAAATTAGGCTGTTATTTCTACAAATTTCAAAATGGATATATTTTAAAAATACAGACAACTAGACTGAAGTATCCCTTTTTATTCACTGAAGTATTCTTTTTTACTCACTTATTTTGAACATGGCATCAGGAAAGACAAATAGCTACAAAAGGACATCATGTTTGGTAAAGTAGAGGATCAATTTAAAATGAGGGAAACCCTCAATGAGGTGGATTGACACAATAGCTGTACCTGTGAACTCAAATGTACCAACTATTGTGAAGATGACACTGGACCAGGCAACATTTTGTTCCCTTATACATAAGGTCGCCATGAGTTGGACCCAGCTCAATGGTAACTAACAACAAGACCACCCCATTTTATGAAACCTACAGAATTTTTAAAAGTGTTTTCAAAAAGTGTTTGCATTTCCTGTATCTGAGAAGTATCCATACTTGTTTTTCTAGTTCTCTTTCATAATGTGGCTAATTCCACATTACTACTAAAAATATCTGCAGTATTCCTCATAGATAGAATTCTTCCATAAAGAAATTAACTAAGTTAGTACTTGGTAGTAGTAAATAACTCTCATCTATGATATCATGACTGTTATTTTATAATGTAGTAATGACATCTCAAGTGGATTTGAACAGCAATGAATGCTTTTACCTCTAATGAGTTTTCAGTTTACTACTGAGTTTCTGTGTATCGTACTGATACTTTTCGTTTTTCTATCTCTTCATTTTTGCTTCCTTTTGAAGTTTTTTCTCGTACATTTTATCTGTGCGTTAAATTATTTTAAAGTGCTTTCAATGCTGGCAAATACAGATATAGCCAAATCTATAAAAGGAGATAGGAAGTAGGAGAGGGGAAGTAGCCATGACCATGCTGGTTTAACAGTTGAGCATTTATTATGAGTCCTGTGGCTCTTGTTAGCGTCTTAACTCTAACTTACAAAATTTCATAAATAGGACCCCTCAACAGCAAAAAAAAAGAAGAAACTTGTAAAAGATGTTCCCTACAAATGGAAATAACTGATGTTCACCTTAAAATTTTCCATATAAAAGATTCTATTATTTCTATGCTGCCTTAATGCTTCTTCACATTTTCATGTACTTAGAGAAACTAAGAAAAGATTCATGGACATTTCCATTCAGTATTAAGCTATGAGTCCAAAATACAGGTCCTTCAATGTTTTATTATTTGTCACAAAAAAGGAAGAACTTCATAAATATGATTAGCAATATAATTTCAAAAGACTAAAATTAGCTTCCACCTCCTTATGTTTCAGGAAGGAGAGCATGGGCTGGATGAACATAAGCTCCACATGTACCTTTCTGCTTTGCAGTCCTTGATCCCTTCACTCTTTGCACTAGTGCTACAGAACGCACCTTTCACAAGCAAAGCCAAGCTTCATGGTGAAGTGCCACAGATAGAAGGTACTCAACTGAAATTCTGGGAGGAAGATGTAGAATATTAGCAATTTGCTTCCCAAAGAATTGTTTTTGGTTAAAACTCTAAAAATCACTTCACGATAGCATAATTACTAAAATGTATTATATGTGTAGAATCTTGAAATCATAGATTGTATAATATCTAAAGTAAACTATGTGGCTTGCTGTTTTATGGATAAGCCTCCTTGTGTTATTTTATAATATCTGTGCTTTCCATTTTGAATCTATAGTCACTGTGGTGCCATTAAAATAGTCTTTTTTTCAGGGGCTGGAATAAGTATTTCTTTCCATTAGTAGCTCTGAGTCTATGAAAATATTCACTTAAAAGTTACTAGTGCTAGTATAGGAACTAGTGCCACTTCCACTTTCTTTGTATTTTCTTCTTCCCCACTGTTACATTAAATGTAATTACTTTTTCCTACTATGTGTTTGATAGACAGGGCCATAAGTACATGTGAAATAATTTTTTTCCAAATATTTTTCCATATTCCAAAGTAAGGAATTTGTCTTATTTATTTTTAGAAATACATGGAATTGATAGCAGAGACTAGTATTTTCTTATCTCACTGTCCTGCTTACCAGTAAGTGACCTTTAATACGTGGCCGTAGGCAACCCCACCGTACCTAACCTCCAAGATAAATGGCCACAGACAAGCTGTTGCTATGCCTGAGATGCCTTTGCAGCTTTTTCAGATTGGTGAAATTTTCCACGTTTCTTACGGGCTTCTGATAGACAAAGAATTATAACATCAA